TAATAAACTAACTTATTAAATAACTAAGCTGTAAAAATCAGAATGAAGACTAAGAATAATAAAAAAAAAACTTGAGTTTTATTAATTTTTTTTTAATGCAAATTTATGACATTTCCAAAACACTCGACCGGTGTTCCAACCACATGCGCAGATATAGTTAGAAAATATGAATATACCCGTAGAACATAACATTTGATTAAACCAATGGACAATATGTTGACAACAATTTGTTTAACCATTGGTGTTTTAGTTATTTGAACAGAGCAGAAATATGCACTTTGTTTACAAATCTATTATTTGTATCTACTTCCTCAGTTTGGTCAACTAACGGTAAATATAATCAGTTAATCCTGAATAATTTATTACGATCTGCTATAAAGTTCAAATTTACGTTAGTATATTCAAAAGGTTGTTAAAGAAAATATCACGTAAGAAGAAAACAAGATACACTGACTTGAGATTTTATAATTCATAAATAAATAAATAAATATAGATAATAACGCTCATGTAAAACTAACTTGTCGACTGCAAGGTAAATAATAAGTGAAGTTATAACATAACTGACGGAGTTCAAAACTGCACATCACTTTTATAATTAGATCGACATCCCAGCAAATTTTTTAGGAATTTTATTAATTTTAAGTTATTTCTTAGATCAAGGATACCACAAATATGGTTTCATCTTTATTTTACTTTCTATCAGTATTTATAAATCCTATTCTTGCATGTACAACTTAGCTCACGCATTATCCATTTGTAACTTTCCTGTATGTGTTTTATGCTTTCAGTTCTACCTCATGTTTGTATGTTTAACTTATACGTTGTCTATTATAGTAGGTCCACATCAGCCCTTTGGCTGCCTCAATTTCAAACCTACTTTACTAATTAAAGTATGTATGTTTTCCCACAGCTTTAGCTTTAATATGTCATTTTTTGTGGCTCGTCCGAGCACACTTATGGTCGAGTTTTGGTCTGTTCCATATCGGTTGATTTAAAAGTCATTTTTATCAGTAATTTCAAGACCTCAAGTAATATCTTACCTCTCACTGTTAGTGCCATCGCCTTTAACAGCACTTCCCCTGAACATTGTAGTAAACCAAGCTAGTGTAACAACAGTTGTATAAAGAGGTAGTAAGAGCATTTCTTGGCTTATTTTCCTGTAGCTGCTCGTCGAGAACTTCTGACTGTAATTGAATATTAACACTCAGTAAGACATAAGTTTCCGGTTAATTATAGACGTAGACAAGAAGATCAAGTCGATTGATTGGGTGACCTAATCACTCACAAGCTCGTGGAGCACGTCAGGTATTGGCTGTTTATAATACAAAAGACAAATGTTCCCAACAATACTCCCGCTATGAAAATTTTGCATTTTCTTCTGAACTATATATTTTGTTTGTTTTTTATACAATAATTCTTAAACAAAGAAAAATAGAGGTGGTTTCACACAATCGTAGGAGCGCTCGATACAAATACACGCAGAGCGAAATACAATACAATAATAATTTGTACAATAATTTGTATAATAATAATTTGCATAATAATTCTTATATATTTATCATTCGGATATCAGTGTGGAATCACACTCAGCATGTTTTAGTTTCTCGTTACGGGTCACAAATCTCTCTTCCTTTACCTTTATTTGCAAATTTATTAATGCACTTTTTAAAATTATAGGTAACGTTGCGACTCAATTCGTTAGTTTTTCCTCGGCTATTTCGTTTTTGCCCAATTAACTTTGTTTGCTTTTTTTATGTCAACCCTAGACTAGGTAGTACATAGATGAAACACTGTTGAAGTATTGAAGCCGCTAACGATTCTTTTTTATCATTTATGCTTCTGAGCTGGGGAGAATTGTGATAGTAAAGATAGTAGTTGATAGGTAATATTTTGTAAAAGCAACTTGCAGAAACCCAATGTTATCCAGGGCGCCGCCTTAATCACAACATCTGAACCAAAGGAACAACATGAAACTATGTCGAAAGTGAAGAATGATCATCGCAGTTAATTTTCCAATTTAAGCAATTGGAAAGAAGAAACCTGAAAAAATCNAGAAGAAGCCTGAAAAAATCAGGGCTTCAACGGGATTCGAACCCGTGACCTCCGCGATACCGGTGCGATGCTCTACCAACTGAGCTCTGAAGCCACACATTGGGAGCTATGAAACTATGTCGATCGGCTATGAAACTATGTCGGCGTGAAGGATATAACTGGGCATTTTTCGACAGGAAATGAGTGGGAATGCACGCCGACGGTTTTATTATCTTTATTTTTCGACAGGAAATAAGAAGAGATTACGCCAACGCTAGTTTTGAAATAAAAAATAATTAAGTCTCGGATCGTGGTGGGACTTAGATGCATCCACAATGAAGTTCGTTGATTAATTTTCAATTTGGAGCGATTTCGTTTTTCCAGGGTTGATGCAAAACATATCCCGACCTATACGAAGAGACACTTTTCAAAAGGAAAGCTTCATTTTAAAAATTTTCGAAGTCATTCCTTGCGATCCGTTCGTCTGCAGTTTCTTAATTTTTCGGCTTTCAACAGTATATGTGATTTTATCTTTGTCCGATCAAGTGAAATTGATTTTTATTTCTCTTACTGTATGGTGTATGCCTATAAATGGCTTGAGGTAAATCAAAATGACAATTAAAAGTGTACTTACTTCGTAACTGTTATGTAATATTATAAAGGAAAGATACTCTTTTTTATAAGAATATTATTTATAAGGATATCGAAGCTGAAATTTGCGAAATTTTAAGAATAGTTTAAGAACAAACCCGAGGCT